CCACGAAATTGTTTACTTTTCAAGTTCATTCGTGAAAATGATGACTTGACTACCGTTTTGAGCGAGATTTTGGCTTTTTGTCGACTCGTGTAAGTACAACAATGCATAATTATTCCGTATAATTTCGATTTTAGGTAGGCAAGTGACATTTACTAAAATTCTGGTGATAAAGAAAATTGAAATAAGCCGATTAAATGTGATTCAAGTCGTTTTTATGAGGTAACGCTGATGTACGAGAATATAGTGCTTAATGGTAACGCCGGAAAATGTTATTTTTCATATATTGTATACTGAACCGTTTGTTTGTTTCATTTTACGCCTTTTCCGAACCGTATTTCAGTAATATAGGCGGGTAGTTTCCTAATTATCGTTCCTGGAGAGTTACACCAGTACTAGACTACCTCCATTCGTGCTTAACTACCAAAGCATCTCCCGGGGATCGAACCCATGCCAGAGAGGTAACTGGATTAGAAGTCATCGACTCCAACCCCTCGCCCACGGAGGTTTAACGCTATTAATCGGGAAACTTTTGGGGAAACTTTTTATACAGAATTTATTTTAGTTTTCTCGCGTAAAAAGAACCCGTCTCGAATCTGTCCTTGAAACCATAGAGCTAAAAGCTTCGTTAGATAAGTCTTTGTTGGAGTAAGTACGAAGCAATGCGTGAAAAAGTTCATACTCAAGAAAACAACGGGGTAGCAAATTCTCAATACCTATTTGAAATTGCCCTTTGTTTAATTATAAAAATTTTCATTTTTCTCACTCTTTATTAATTATTAGACATGAAAAAGTCCTTTTTTAGACCTTCACGGCATGGATAGATGAAATCTTCCATAAACACATCTCTAGAAGCTCTCAATATTCATGTACATTGAAAAAGTAACCAAAATATATTCAACCTATCTTTAGTCTATGTCACCCTTTACCTGGTAAATTTATGAAATGGTTTTGCCAAGCTGTGAACTTGGAACAGTTGTTCAAAGTCTGAGAGATTTCTATTAGATATTTAATGTATTTGTACAAATGAACTACCTGAGTGAGCAAATAGTCACTCTGTATGGATGATACCTGCATCTTTACTGGTGGCCTTTTTTAGGGTCATTAGTCCTGTTAGTTTTGAAAACGTCTATAGTAATGCCTAGCATAAATTCGTACGGTAGATTCATTTGTTTTTCCCGTACAAGTTAACATATAATACATGTAATAAGAAACCCTGAGAGTTGGTAAATCTTTACCCAAAGGGTTACTATTTATTCAACTTTAGCAGAGGACAATAAGGTTATGCTTTTACAAGTTTTAGGCATTAAAGTTTCTAAGTAAAATATCTTTTGAATACAAGTTACTTCCTTATATAAGAGAAAAAATAAATTAAATAAATAATCTACTTTCACAGAAGTTAACCACTGCAGGCATATTGCTACAGCCAAATATTTGTTTTGGCTGGGTTTCACATTGCATCCAACACAGAAAACGCATTGACTATAGGTCGCAAATAACTTGATTATATTTGCCTATAAGAGGCGTTATATTTGTGTAACAGTTCACATTTTCGGCGTTACCGCGAAGCACAATGCACGTACATCGGCGTTACCTAAAAAAAACGGCTTTTATCACATTGTATCAGTTTATTTTAAATTTTCTATATCACACGAAGTTAGGTTTATGTCACTTGTCTACCGAAAATCGAAATTATACGGAATAATATGCATTGTTGTACTTACACGAGTCGACAAAATGCCAAAATCTCGCTCAAAACGGTAGTCAAGTCATCATTTTCACGAATGATCTTGAAAAGTAAACAATTTCGTGGAGGGATAAAGAGTAATGTCTTTGCAGCCGTATGCGGCTTCTGATTTTTTTCAGTTCGGTTAAATAAAAAATATATTGGCCAGTTTTCTTACCGCGTTGGAAATCCTGTCAGGTATCCGCCATTTATTGCATAATTCTGCGTTATTTATTGCACGAATCGTGTGTCATTTTCACATTCCGGCATTACTGGCTTTTGAAAAGTATTCAACTGTTAAATATATTGAACTTGGGGCCATGGGTTCAAACCTCAATAAGGTCTTTGTTCTTTTAATTGTATTAATGTATCTTAAATATCCCTTTTGCGAAGAAAAAAAAGTTTAATTTTAATTGTTTAATTAATTTAAGTATTTATTAGCTAAATAATGCTAAATACAATAACAAATATGCTACTTGATATTTTCAAAGTACAATAATATTAAAACTAGACGGTAAAGTATTTAATATTTTGCATAATTAACCACTATTCTTTGAAAAAAAAAACAGAACAATTTTGAAACTTTGAAAACAGGTACCCATTTCAGTAAGTTTAGGGATTTTTTTTTTCATTAGGCTCTCTAAGTAGGAAATTGGATTACATTTTTATATAATTATATTTCTTAAACTTCAATCATTTTGCTGAATTGGATTGTTAGCTTAATGTTTTTTTGGTTTTTTTTTGCATCTGTTAAATATTGTCTTTAAATTAATAACAAAAAAAAACAATTTCGACGGTCAGAATGTAATTATTCGCATAGTTATCGTTGGAAAAACACTAAGCTCAAACGGGGTCACACAGAGGCGCCTTGATAACTCACTACCCCCCCCCCTACCCACTTTACAACCGCCTACCTCTCCAAAACATTGTATTAGAACAAATTTAAATATTTGATATATGCTTTTCATTCAATTTCCTTCGTACCCCGCAAAAATAATAATACATATAGTAAATATATATGTATCGCATTTTTATCTATTGATTTGTTTATCTTTTTTTGTTGCGAGCTGTGAAGGAAACTGAATGAAAATCAAATCAAATATTTAAATACACCCCAAATGAAAAAAACTGCAGTGTACACTGTTTTGGAGATGTTGGAGGGTTTGGAATGGGTAACGGGGGGGGGGGTAGTGAGCAATTATCAAATTTATCATCAAATCATAACATAACATAACTTTTTACATAGCCTTTCTGATAATTTTGTAAATTATTTACATAACAAATTGGATCTTTAAGTTTTTGTGCAACAAAATGTTTTTAAAAACTGTAACTTTGTTTTTCCTTTATTTCTAAACTTCATATATATGTCCCAACTTTACCCATATTTCCAGGATACTACAAACAAAAACTTCCATGAAATAATGTTACATCTTTATTTATATAGATATTTACTTAAAACTTGAATTGTTTCTGTCTTTATAATCACAAACATCGGTTTATATTTCGAGCACCACTTTTTTTCTTTGAAAAATATTTAATTTAATACACAGACATTTTAAGTACAGTTAAGTGTTTTAGTAAGCATTTACAAAATTAAACATTAAGACCAATTTGATTTATTAAATGTTTACTAATAAACACTAATTTAGTATTTACAACCCTAAACGTATCTTTCTTTTCGTTATTTGTGTGATGTAAATATAATGGTATATACTTATTATCCATATCATCCATGGATGATTGATTACATATATATATAACAAAAGTGGAAAAATAATACAAAGTATAAACATTCAGTATAGGTTAAAGTTTATTAGAACGTATTTACAAAATTAAATTGGTTAGGCGCGGTGCAGCCGCGCGACAAAATTAATTTTGTAAATACGCACTTAAAACTTTAACCGGCATAGTGTTTTAAATGTTTTTAATTAACAGTCGATCCACCAAAGGGCCTCGTCCAGTCTTGGTGCCATACAACCCCCATTCCACCCCCCCCCACACAAAAAAATAAAAATAAAATAAAATTGAAAATTATAATTAAAAAGCTCCAAAACAGCTTGTCTGTGGAAAACGAAAGTACACAAACCTACACAGTTTTGTTCCGCTGCCCTGGTCCCCTGCGACATTCACTGACTAATAAACAACAGTAACCAATGCAGTAAATTGATGGTTACCGTTGTCATCTGTTCTGCGAAATGTAGTCGTAGGAAACCAGGAGAACGGAACAGTACGATGTAGGTTTTCGGTTTCGACAAAATGGCCGATCAACACAGTTATTTTGCAACTTTTAACAAGTTGGAGTGTCCGAGTTTAAATGTAAGTTAGTTAAGATTGTATATAAGGTAGAGAAGAATGTAAACAATTTTCTTAAATCATGATGTGGTTGTTCCACAGCTTGTCCTAGCAAAGCTCCGTAGGGTTACGGGTATAAGTATACAGTAAACTTCACTTATAGCGAACACGGTTATAGCGAACTTCCGGTTATAAGGAACAATTTATTTTGGCCCGAATTTTGCCCTTCTTTATTTAATATTAAAATATATGGTTATAGCGAACACGGTTATAAGGAATTATCGCTTATAAGGAACTCATTTCTTAGTCCCAATTTAGTTAAAAGTACAGAAAATTACACTTTTATAACGAACTCCAAAATATTGGCTATCCGTAAGAAGATGCCGCATTTTCATCTTTCGTTTTTATTGGCACGGATTCAAACTCGGCCGAATGTTCCGTTTATTGTTGTATGTACTTCAATACATCTATTAAAAGGGAAATTAATATTTATTTTTCGTTTATCACAGAAAACTTGTTTTGAAGCTTTTTTATTTTTGTTTCATTTTTTTCTTCTTTTTTTTAGTTTGGGGGTGTATGGGCACTAAGACTGGTCGAGTACCTGTGCGATTTACTACACTGATGAACAGTTTACCGATTAAATAAAGTAAATGTGTTTAGATTTATTTGAAATACTGCAATCCTATTGGACAAAAATAATTTAAAACACTAACACATGTAAAAAGTTCAGAGAAGAGGTTTTATAGTATTCGCACAACGTCAATAAAAGCGATATATAAAGTTATGGAAGCAAGAACTACTATGATACAATCATAATCACGTTTCTCGATATGCGCTTTTGAGACGTAATTCTTCAATACCTTCATGTATATAATAACATATTCATATCTCCCGTTCCCATGTCACTATGTTTAAACCAGATAAACAAATATAATTTTCATAAAGAGAAATATTACTATTGAATACTAGTAATTGTAATACTTACACAAATCCTGATTTTTAATCAATGTCTCTCCTTCATTTTACACGTCATTTGTCCTTTGTTGATAGGGAATATCACAATATGTATCTTTTTTATATCCAAATATAATATAACAAGATCAAACATGCCCGTATATATGTGCAAAAATTACGCGCACACTTACAAACTTGCTTGCATGATTTCAGTCGGCCCTATTCCCTAGCCATGAAGGATAACTCCCTGTTTCCCTGTCTAAAATTCCACCAAATCATTCCCCTTTTGATTTTCCGGTGTTGGGAAAGATGGCGGTTTTTTGTTTACCGGAGAAAAATCAATGATAAAAAAATGATAAAAAGTTAGTTTTAGAGTAAGTTTAGACGGGCCATTGCTCAGAAATCTTGCTTAGATGGTAACATAGTAAACTGTATAAGTGACATGAAGTGTATTTGATGATTATTTGAACAATAGACGTACTATTAGCCAACTTTTAGTAAACACGTCAACACGTCAGTGATTACACACGGGTACACTCGTACGCGAGTTTACACCTGATTACACCTGATTTCACGTTTCACCTTTTATTTATATCAATGCCTAAGAAACGGGAACGAACTAAATCTTCCCCGTGTGAGCAAACTAAAAAACAGAAACCCAACCAATTCATAGCAGACGGCAGCTTCGTCGAAGAAACTGAAAGCTGGGAGGAAAATTCTATTTATATTCCCCATACCCCGGAACTTGATCTCACAATGACGAAAATATTAAGTCGCGAAGACCTAAAAGAACTTGTGTCAATATTAGGTAAAGAACTTAAAGCTGATCTTATCGAGTCAATCAAAACTGAATTAAAAGCTGAAATAAAATCAGAACTTAGATCTGAAATCATAAAAGAAGTCCAAGAAGCAGTAGACAGTGAAACTTTATCTCTCCGAAACGAGTTATCCTCCCTTAAAAAAGCACATGCTGAATTGCAGCAGGCATCGCTCGACAACTTTTTGGCAACTGATGAGGTCGAGCAATACAGTAGAAGGTTATGCCTTGACATATCCGGAATTCCGGGGGATACCAACGATCCTAACGAGAATGTTACAGGAAAAATTCTAAGCCACTTCAAGAACTGGAAGTCAAGTGAAGGTACCACTCTTGAAATTGACCCCTCAGATATACTTGTTTCTCACAGAAAAGGCAAGTTTAAGGAGGGCTTCAGCGTCAATCGCAAGTGTATTGTTAAATTTTCAAATCATGCCGCATGCCAACGCGTGTACAACGCAAGGAAAGATCTCGGATCAGGTATATTTGTGCAACAGAATATTACACCGTATCGTGAAAAATTGTCTTATGAGGCTCGTCAACTCATTCGCGCCAAAACTCTCCAAAAAACTTGGATATCTGGATTTAAAGTCTTTGCGCAATTTCCGACGACGACGAACCCTATGACTGGTAAATCTGAACAAGGAGCGAAGGTCCACATCAAGAGTATGAGAACTATTGAAGCAATCAAAGACGGATCAATATTCAAATCATAAATCAAACTTCACTGCTTTCAAATATATTTGTAATTCCTAGTAGTTCGAAATACATGTCACCCTCAATTAATTCTCGTAACTAGAATTATCGACATATGAACTTGTTATTTTAAACACAGCATTATAAAATACTTAAGCTGTCGGTCTTAACCCGTACTCTTTATATTATGTAACCTTTGTAAATAGAGTGTATGCCCTACATAACTACGTGAATCCGCTCGAGATTTTTTATTCACTAACTTAGCCGTGGTTTATCGTTATAGTTAAATTGGCTACTCAACTATAACGCTAGCATACAGCCGCGTTGTGATAGTAACTTTTGTTGTCTTGTTCAAAATTAATTTCCAAAA